TATTTTAAAATACCAGATTTTGGGTTGTCCTGCAAAATAGCGTATGATGGAATTTCCGCGTACGTGACCGCATTTTCAACGACTTCCAACAAAAAATACCACCAATTCAATGCATTTTCCCAAATATAGCAACATTATTAGTCTATGGTGGCTGCTGTATTTAATTTTTGACAGCCAGTTCGCCAACAAAACGTAATCGAAGTGGTCGTCTCGACTCATGTGAAAAAAATAATTCCACAAACGATACTGCTTTTCTCCAGGTAACGTATTCATGTGTATTTCATTCTATTTTCTATTAAACATGTTAATTTATTGTTATTTGAAATGTTATGTTATATTGAACAAAAGTTTTATAACTAATTAGTAAATTCATTTCAAAATTTTATTGGCATGGTTACGTTACCTCCATTAACGCTACTATCGCATGAATGGAACTCAAAAGTGACGTAATAGAATCCTAAAGGTCGGTTCATAAAGTCATTGTTTTAATTAGTGTTCTAAAGTGTAAATAAATTAAGTATGAATAAAATAATAATGAAATGCCTTGAATTTTTTAAATGAATTGCTTATTACTTAATTTCGTGTGTAAATCAAACAAGATTTTTCGACTAGATATTTCGGCTCAAAACACTCCATTCAGGATAACATTAGAAAAATAACAGTGAAATAACGATAGTTATTACGTTATATTGTTGAAATGGCTGCATTTAGTGTTTAATTTTAATGGTATCCTGAATGAAAATTTTTTTGTTTTTGCGTGAAAATATATGTGATAAACAGTTATCACATTTATTTTGACAATTATTTCACGCAACGCTTTTTGTAAATCTATATAAATTTTTTCACAAAAATTTGAGATTTTTCGTACGGGGTACATTATGATAACTCACTATTGATTTTAGGTTTAAATATGCCCTTGACGGCTGCAGAAAAGTCAAAACGGTACCGAGAAAAAATCAAACAAAACCCGGAAAAATATGAAGAATTTAAGAAGAAGGAATTACGAAGACAAAGAAAGCAACAAAAGAAGATTAAAAAGCTCACTGAGGACGAGAAAATGGAAAAAAGGTAAAACTCTGGAGAGAACAAAAACGAAAACAAAAACACTCAACCGAATCCACAATCAGGGCAATCACGTGACGCATCCAATAATTCAGCTCCACATTCATTGAAAATTAGGTACCGGAAATTGTTAAATAACTACAAAAAGGCTTTAAAGACGATTCGTCAATATAATACAACAACACAGACTCTGAGAAAGAAATTACGCCGAATGAAAAAAAAACATGAAACCGAATTTGATTTATTGAACACAGAAAACGATGAATTGAAAGCAAGACAAGAAATAATGGAAATATCAATTCGTAGTACGTACAGGAATTGTAAGAAAAATAAAGAAAAACAATTAGTTAAAAACGTGATTAGGAAACAGGCGCATATATTGTAAAAAGCACCTGAAAGTAAGATTTTAGGTCTTAAAGGAAGAATCAGGAAAAGGATTAATTTACAACGACCAATAAATAAGAATACTCAGGAAGAAATAGAACTTTTTTATTTGAGAGACGACATAAGTAAAAGCACAGCTGGTAAGAAGGAAACCAGGTCCAAAGACAAACAAAAAGCACAAATAAGATACTTAGTCGACACACTGAAAAACGTATACGAAATTTATAAAAAAGACGGTGGGTCATGCGGCTTCACCACCTTTTACAGATACAAGCCTTATTATGTACTGTCTCCAAGTATCAATAATAGAGAAACCTGCTTATGTATTAAGCACAGTAACTTTGAGTACATGTTTAATGCATTGAAGTGTAAAGATGTCACAACTTACAAGAATATAAAGGAGCTCTTGAACATCGTTGCATGTGATATTACGCGTTATGACTGCATGTACAATAAATGTAAAGATTGTAAGAGTATTTCATATGATGAACAAAACCTCGATTCTGCTATATCATGGTTCAAATGGGCTAGGGTAAACCATGAATATGAAAAATCCAATCAATGCACTTTAGTGCCTCCAAAAACACGATCACTTTACATAATATAATTTATATATTTTTTTATATATATATATAACATAATATAATAATTTTTTGGAAAAATCTATCCCAATCATTCGTATCTGTTTCAGATAACAATTGCCATGAGCCTTTTATTATACAAAGAATGGTAAAATGTAATGCATGTAAAAATTGGGTTTGCCTGATATGTAGCGGAACAACCTTTTTTGACTACATTTGTTCGATTTGTCTTGGGACTGATGAATAGTTTTTTGTTACAGTTTAAGACCGTTTACAAAGTACGGCATTTCATACAAACTTTCAAGTCTTTATATTTCGAAATAAATGAACCGATTTTAATGAAACTTCCTATGCATAAGCAGGATATATAGGTCCAAAAAGTTAATGAGAACATTTTCGAAAAATAATGTTACAGCTAAATTCAGCCGATTTTAAATTTTCCATAGAAACAGATATTTCCAATTATCTTGTTTTAAATAAGACATTTCGAAAATGTTCTTTACTAACTTTTTAGAACTATGTGTTCTGCTTATGCGTGTGAAGTTTCATTAAAATCGGTTCATGCATTTCGAAAACAAGGACTTGAAAGTTTATATGAAATGCCGTACGTTTTAAACGCTCTTAAATGACATACTAGTAATATTATGTTTAATACGATAAGTACAAGTTACCATGATTGTTGTCATAATTGAGAGTCATATAGACGTTGCCTTACAGTTCCTAAACGTCATTTTCGAATTACATTAACGTCACTGTCCTATTATTACTGTGATTTATTTTCTAAGACTAATTAATAGATCTCAAAGAAATTTGACTGTTTTTGTTCAATATAGTTTACTATAAATTTTTAATTTGTTATAATTAAACTTTTGAAAGAATATTTCTCATATTTGACGTTCTAGGATGAAAAAAATATAGTACAAAGTACCCAAAAGTAGCGTAAGGAATATCTTTGTTAAAACATTTTTTGATTAGATCTAATATGCTGAATTATCAATATTTTTTAGAAAACAGATTGTGTTTATTTTTCATTAATAAAGTTAAAAATACTGAACTTCTTTTAGTTTTCATGAAAACTATTTTAAAATTAGTAACGTAATGGAATTTCTTGAGAACATAATTTAATTAAAATTGTAATTATTTTCAAAATTCATTATTATTTTCTTAAAAAAATACTATTTTCATACTGCTCATACTATATTTTATCAATTTAATTACATTTTGAAGCTAAATGTTACAACTCATACAAGTGGAATTCTAACTACGTCACCGACAATTTTTTTGAAAAACGCCCAGTTGCACTCTCTATTCCCTCACTCTCATAATCCGATGGGACTTAAACGTTAATTTAGTAGTTTAATCTCACGGGGGTGAGACACCGCCAACTTCCTGACTCCGGGCAGCTACTGAGAATTTCTTGACGGAAAAACTCTATAATTATATTTTTGGTCCGATCCCGATTCGAACCCAGGACCTCATGATCAGAAGTCGCACTACTGCAACCACTAGACTAACGAGGCAGTCTAACAAAATATAATACGGTAACTAAAGTAAAAGAAATCATTTGATTATGCAGGTGTACCTTGCATAATCAAATGATTTGTTTGTTCCGTGTGGTGGCGGTGTTAGAATATCCACCGCTCCATATCATCCCTTGCGTGTTGTAAGAGGTAACACTGGGAAAATGAAGTAGGAGATGGGCAGCAGCGTCATCCCGATAACAACGTATGTCAAGCGTGGCAGCTGTGGTAAAATCACTTCTGTGAGAAAATCTATCGAGGAGGCCTACGTCCAGCAGTGGACTTTCATGGGCTGTAATGAATGGATGCACGCTACTACTTTAATGGGCTGTAATGAATGGATGCACACTACTACTTTCATGGGCTGTAATGAATGGATGCACACTACTACTTTCATGGGCTGTAATGAATGGATGCACTTATATGGGCTGTAATGTGGTGCACACTACTACTTTCATGGGTTGTAATGAATGGATGCACACTACTACTTTCATGGGCTGTAATGAATGGATGCACACTACTACTTTCATGGGCTGTAATGAATGGATGCACACTACTACTTTAATGGGCTGTAATGAATGGATGCACACTACTACTTTCATGGGCTGTAATGAATGGATGCACACTACTACTTTCATGGGCTGTAATGAATGGATGCACACTACTACTTTCATGGGCTGTAATGAATGGATGCACACTACTACTTTCATGGGATGTAATGAATGGATGCACACTACTACTTTAATGGGCTGTAATGAATGGATGCAGCACTACTACTTTCATGGGCTGTAATGAATGGATGCACACTACTACTTTCATGGGCTGTAATGAATGGATGCACACTACTACTTTCATGGGCTGTAATGAATGGATGCACACTACTACTTTCATGGGCTGTAATGAATGGATGCAGTCTACTACTTTCATGGGCTGTAATGAATGGATGCACACTACTACTTTCATGGGCTGTAATGAATGGATGCACACTACTACTTTCATGGGCTGTAATGAATGGATGCACACTACTACTTTCATGGGCTGTAATGAATGGATGCACACTACTACTTTCATGGGCTGTAATGAATGGATGCACACTACTACTTTCATGGGCTGTAATGAATGGATGCACACTACTACTTACATGGGCTGTAATGAATGGATGCACACTACTACTTTCATGGGCTGTAATGAATGGATGCACACTACTACTTTCATGGGCTGTAATGAATGGATGCACACTACTACTTTCATGGGCTGTATTGAATGGATGCAGACTACTACTTTTTATAATACTAGGTATAACGGTATCGCTTGTTTTCGCACGTGAGAAATTAATATTTTGTTTGTCCAAGATGTTAGTTATTTTTACCATACATCTTCAATATTTTACATAGGTAATATTGTGTTCGACCATGGAACACAAATTGTAACGTTTAAACGTCATTCGTTTCAGAGCTAGAAAGAGCGATAGCTGAGCGAGCTCGTCGCTTAGAACAAGCGGAACAAAGCGCAGAAGAAACTGATCCCGCTACAAATCCTACCCTGCAGGAAATCCGTGCGCGCTTGCGACACGCCGCGCCGCCAGCGCCCTCTCCCGCCGCCTCCGCGCACTGAGCCTTCGGCGGCGGTTCAACAACTATTTAACTAATATAATATAACAAGTAATAAGGTATTGTAGCAACCCCTGTCTAAACCAGTTACTTATATTTACTTAATATGATGAACACAATTAATACATGCATTTTCATAAAAAAGTAGTCCAAAAGTCACGTTATAATATTTTTAAAGTTTATTACTTTCAATATATAATAAATATCTATAAATAATTTTCATATTAAAAATTAGAGGCTATCACCATCTACTGACTCGTTTAGATCTATAGTGTATAGAATGGTTTACTGATTACTACTTATTTCCTGTAGATGGCGCGCAAAAGAAAGTATGTTGCAGGCAGCAGTTATAAATGTATTTAATATATTAATTTTGTTAAAGGTTTATTGCTAGTCGTCTGAAAATCGAACGAATGAAATATTTATACGGTCGACAATATTAAATAAAAACTACATTAAAATTATTATTTTATTTAATATTTTTAATTAAGTTTCTTCTAGCATCTATACAAAGTATTTCGAAAATTGGTTCAAACTTTTGAACTATTTTTCGAAATACTTTTTCTATTCTTCCTCAGAGATATCTTCTACGGCCTAATCGAACACTGCTAGTAAAAGAAAATTGTACTGTACTCCTATGGGCAGATTTTTTGTTTTAGGAAATAAATAGAAGTACCGTGCAATATCATGGTGTTCTGTCCAGGAATTTTCTGGTTTTCAGCGCTGCATACGCTGTCGCGTCGTCACGGTGAAGCATATACCACGGAGTCTCATATCAGGTCGCTTATTGCTCACAGTGGTGAACACATCATATGAAAGTTATTTTGTAGTACTATTCAGCATTGATGTTACTTCGATTTCGTAAAGGAATGGACTCCAGATACCCCGTCAAAGTGAAAAAACTAGAAAATCAAAATATTCCCTGCGCTTGATAGTTTCACTTCGCGCTGATTCATTTTAAAACAGCCATATTGTCGACTTATTGCATTGTCTCTCAAGGTTAGTCGACGGTGCTGAGGTTTACCATTTGCCTCCGAAGAGCATTTATCAATAAATGCCATTTGAAGTCTAGCAAACGTATTGTTCAGTTTTCAGCCATATTTGGAATTTATAAAAAATCATTGCGCGAAAATGTTTTCAACGCAGATCCATTTAATAATACTCGTAATAGCTCGTTCAAAAATAAGGAGGGACATTTTAAATTGGAACATTCGTATTTTTATGTAAGTAATTTAAAAAATGTAAGTTTTTGCCGGGAACTTGACCGTAGGCGGATTGCTGTTCCTGCATTATTATTGATTGTTGAGGTGGATTTAGATACGTATTAGCGGCACAGTTTTGTGTATTAAATGTTTGCGCGTTTTGACTATCAGTAGAGACGATGAAACACGTGCTCCGTCGGTGATGTGAACCTCAAAGTATTGTATCTGCATAGGCGCCTTCAGATATTGCCGCCAACTGTCTGCTGGCTCAAACTGCCGTCAAAATCTCCCCAAAAATTCTCAATGTGACACATAATATATTATGAAGAATTTTATAAAGAATATTTTTTGTTATTACTTGACAAGAGTACAGCCGTATGAGTCCAAAGAAATAAATTATAACTGGCCACTGTCGTCCCATACAAAAAACTTTTTTCTCAAATATTTCAGTATGGCCTGCCGTTTGCTATTATAGTTACAAATTCTGAAATGAAAAATATATTCCTCGTTTATAAATATTTATTGGTCGAATAAAACTATTTTTTTCGTTCGATTTTGGGACGAATAGTAACTTCCTTTATTTAAAGTAAAGGAATAAAAAATATGAAAAAATAGTATTATTGATCGTTTAGAAATACCACGCTTTTCTGTATGATTTGTAAGTTTTCAAAAAATGTGGGTTTATTGAACAGTACCAATGCTTTGTTATAAAAACATCTTTGTACGATTTAATTATGATTTTGTAGGTTAGGAAAAGCGTTGCTATAATTGTTTATGTTAATACGTAATCATCGAAACTAAGTCACTAAAAGTGTCACAATATATTATAAATTATTTTTACTACTTAGTTGTAGCTTATTATTCGCGAATGAATATAATTTTAATTGTTTAGTTTTTGTTGTACCTTATAGTTTTAAGAGTCAAAGCACGAGAGGACGGCTAAGTTGTAAATAGTTTGTTACCATTTTACATTAAATCCGAAATATACTTGACTACAATATAATTGTCTTATCGAACAATCACTGACTGAGAAATCGACTGCTTGAGATGTAATGATAGGGTAAATGTCGACTTCAAATAAGAGAAAATATTTTTCTAAACTTTTTAACGTCTCACTCTTGACATTTTGACGTAGTGTTCTTTTATATCACCACACTTCTTGTTATCATGTACAATTATTTCTCAATCCAAATAGTGTGTCATCTATTGCAACCAGCGAACTCGTAAAAACTATTGAGTTCGTTGATTTCAATGATTAATGTATTTACATTAGATAGTAGTTATATGTTAAAAGGGGAGAATACAGTTAAGATATTTGCGAATGACAATTACTTTCATATTTTATTACATAGTAGAGATCTTAATATGGCATTGAATATTATAAAATTTAAAATAGAGAAATATTTGAACCCCATAATACAAATTTTTGAATATTTAAATCCAGTATTTTATAGTACTCCGAAATATACCAAATACATTATAGTTGATCAGTAGACGTTTGATATTAAAGTGTTCATGAAAGTGATAGATGAAAATATTTTTGTATATTTGTGTAATGTCTATGGATTCCCTATTGTCTTATATGTAACAAAATATTCTTTAGACTTCTACAACACCGTAATTTTAACTACGGCCTACATCGTGAAACATTATCTAATTTATCAAATATAATAATTGAAAACAAGTTTCATAATGTAAAAATAGTATTTTTAGATTTTCAATCACAATTTTAATGATGTTACTTCATTCAATATAGAATATATTGATGACCATTGGTTAAATTAGTATAAAAAAATAACAAGCACTTTAAAATCATTGTAACACAGTAGAACCAGTTTTTAGCTTAGTAAAAGAATCTCTTGCTCGTTCATATTTTTTATTTGAAAGTTTGTATTATTTTAGTTACATTGTATTGGTTTCATAATATTTCCTTCTTACTTTTATGAAGATTTAATACTTGTAGCTAGATAATATTACAAATAATTCTGTTCTTTCCGTCGTGCCTATTTATATAAAGATTGTTGATTAATTTCAGAGTATTAGTTGATAATGATTAAAGTAAGACTATATACTACACTATATCTTATGGGACATCAAAATTATAAAAATACCATTCCACTTGTTATTCTTCCACTTCTTTTATATTTAATTTGTAACAGTATTTTGCATAGATTATGTTATTACTATGTTACGATATTTGTAGATAACTTAGTACAAAGTGGAGTAAACTTCGTTTACAAAACTGCACATTGTGGCCATTAAGTTGGATATAATGAACTTAAAATACTAAGATTTTAAGTGATTTACTCTTCGCAATAAAGTTGACGATGATAGATTCTGTATCAAGTTTTGGTAATTTACCTAGAGCAATAAAAGTGTTTTAGGAATTGTAGTTTTATTTCCGCAAGCACGCATGTATTGTTAAGTTTCATTGTTTTTATCTGTTATCGCTTCGTTTAGCAGGAAAATTAACGACTAATGTAAAGCAAAAAAAAAATATCTCCATTTTGGACATAGTTGAGGCAGTATTTTTTTTTGCCATCAATTGCTGGTCACAAATTGTTCAAACATTATATAAGTCGACTTTTATGTTACCCGCGGCTTAATTTTGGTCTATAGATCAAAATCTGTTTTATGTGCTCTACTTCCCTCCCATGATCCCTTGAATCCAGATATCTCGAGCATTTGTAAAAAAATTATAGTAGATTTATTTTGATTTGTATGAGAAATAAGTCGAATAAATAAACTTTACGGCATATATGGCTAAGAGGGTGTACCTATCGAACTGTTGATTTCTTGAAATGAATATAATGCTATAATGGTTAACCTAACCATACCTAGCCTCTATAGCTCGACTGTACAGATCGGCAGGTATTTTTTTAAATTGACAAAAGAACTTAAAAACAAAAGAATTCTACAGATGCGTTAAACCGGTGAGGGTTATGATGAAGTGTCACAACCTCTAATTATACCGGCTCTCTATGCTACATATAACCGTGAGTTAGCACCACAAACTAATAAGAGTACTAACGTAGTTAGCACTGACGCGATTTTCACAAAAAAGCATGTTTTAAACACTGTCTTCTGTCAATGTATCAAAAAGCGTTTGCACAGTCAAATAACATGTTCTAGTGAAATATGTTTGACAGTTTATTGTACATTACATATTTTAGCTACATTAAATCTTTATAATTACAGAAACAAAATATTTGAAAACAAAAATATTGTCATGTTGAAAGATAAGTTTGAATATCTGTTGAAAATTTTACATAGTTTTTGTGAGTGTGACAAAACATGTTGTGTGATTTATTTTATGCGATTTGTTTCAAAACATTACGTGTTGAATGTTTCTCAGTGCAAACGTACTGTAACACATTAAGTAAACGTACTGCTGTTTGGCGAATTTTAAAATAGGTAAGAGGTAAGAGGGTAGAACCAACCCAGACGAACTTTAGGCAGAAAAGGTGGCTTAAAATTTAAAAAAAATAAGGACCGTGTTGTAAGGAATGCAATGCGACGATTGCCATTGAAAGTGACATTTCTTTTTTTTATAATATATTTTTTACCGACAAAAAGGAGGTGGTGTTCAATTCGACTGTATGTTTTTTTTTATTTGTGTTGCCTCATAACTTTTCTCTGGGTGAACTGATTTTGATGATTCTTTTGACGAAGCTGGTGCTTCTCATGTGATCCCATAGAAATTTAACCAAGATCTGACCAGTAGTTTTTGAGTTATCTTTAATAATGCGTGTTTAATATACTTCTAATACATTGATAATGTTCTCATTTTAATTATATTGAA